TGGGAGAAGGTAATCAGTAATTAGTTACTGATTACTTTTTTCAAGTAACTTGACCAACACTGTCGAGCATTGAAGCAGATGGGCTGCAGCAGCAGAGGACCTTAATGGGTGACACTCATGTCAGCTAACATGATGTTGAGGCTACGCACGGACAACAAAACTTGACAACAGATGATTGTACTGATGATTCTCAATTTGCTTCAACAGCTACAGTGGTAGGGATTAGGAGTAAACAACATGAAAGCATTGATCCATCCTGCTTTGTATCACTGGTTGTCCTGCTGCTGGTGATGTAATGGTGTGTGATATTTTCTTGGCATGCTTTAGGCCATTTAGACACCTGAGCTTCATTTGTAAGGCACAGGCTACCTGATTATTGTTGCTGACAACAATAGCGTGTCATGTCACACAGCCCAATCATCTCATGTTAAACATGACAATGAGTTCACTTTACTGAAATGGCCTCCACAGTCACCCCATCTCAAACTAATAGAGCACATTTGGGATGGAAGAGAAGATTCACATCATGCGTGATGTCATGTCAGTATGAAGCAAAATCTCTTAGGAATGCTCCCTGCGCCTTGTTCAATCCGTACTATGATGAATTAAGGTCGATCTCACTCTTAAAAGGCAAAAAGATGTCCGACCTTGTACCACACGGTATAACTATGAAGTGAGTGAGCCAGTGAGTGCAAATCACTTCAAAAATGAAGATTCAGGATTATTTTAAATTAAGTTATTAAATGACAAAACTTTATAGACCTGCAGAGAACTAAAAGAAAGGATGATTTATCATGATCAATTATTATTATTATTATTGTTATCAATATTATTATTAGGACAGGATGATGATTACGGTTTTCGCATTCGTCGCATTTCGTCGCATTTCGTCGCATTTCGCATTCTTTGAGGTAAAAACACAGACTGGGCCTGTTCAGCAGGTTGTTTTACATTGCATAACACGTCGTCATGTGTTACCACTGTTAATTACATACCCCGTGGTGACGTTTGGCCGCAGTGTGCAGGCTGCCGGGCCCATGCAGGGACATGGTGGGAGCGTCACTGTTAAAATAGCTTGTCCAATGAGAGCAGCCCACGTTTCTGGACGAACGCGGATGTGCACCTCGCGGACCAACCACGGAAAAGTAGAGCAGATAGGGCGGGGACGGCTCTGGCAGAGGGGCAAGGTTTCGTTTACAAAGTGTAAGGACGGTCAGCTGTTCGGCTTCAGCAACAGACTAGTCGTTTTAACTTTAAAACGAGTCTAGAAAATAATTAATTCAGGCGGGGTAGTGAATTCAAGCTGCTAGTTCTTTTGTGAGGGGAGGAACCTTTCAGCAACACGACTCATTTCCACACGGAATACTGTCCGATTGGGACTGTAAATACACCGTCGTAGCTGCTCCGCAGAGAGGAAAGACCCATGAGGGTGTAATAAATAACAGGCAGATTTCAATGAAACAGACAGGCGCTTTCAGTCGAAGCGGACGCAGAGCTGTGAAGTTGGCTGGTTCCGGTGTTAAAGCGTGAATCCGGGAAGAGATGGAGCCGTGTCGGCGGGCCGGACTCAGCGGGGTCCTGTGCTCCCTGTCACTGCTGTGTGTCATCCTGGACATCCAGCTGGACGGTAAGACCCACTTCACGTTAAAAGAAAACAAAAAACAGCCTGCTTACTCACTCGTTTGTCGTCTTTAGCTGCTAAAAATTCATCAAGCCGGCTTATTACTGACACCGAAACTGCTCTTAAAATACTAATACAAAAAAGTAATTACTATATCGTTGCTCTGATTTAAAGATACCGGCTATTAATCTGTAAAAGACATGAAGGCTTTAAAAGATGTTTCCAGGGGCAGTATCCTTACAACCAGGGGCGTAGTGAGGACTTACAGTCCCAGCACCACCTGCTTTTACCTGTGTCAGGCCTGTGCTATTATAGTTCAGTTACATTTATGTGTGTCAAATCATTATTTTAAAAACACTGATTGTATAAGGTTTCGTCTTGCAGTAATACTCCACTTTTCATTACATCGGTTTTCTTTAGTTTCACCCCTCCCTCATTCCTCGCCAGCGCTAAAATACTTTCAGCTCTACACTTAACTGCCTACTTTACTACTAAAGTTGAGGTTTAATACACAGTAATTGTACTGTATTTAAGTATTTCTCTACCTTCTGCTTCTATTCCACTATATTTTGGATGCAGATGGAGATTTTAAGACTTTAGTCGCTTATTCATTTGCAGATTAACTGCATTATTATAGATCAATGCCTATAAGCAATGTAGAAGGATGTAAAACAGTCCTCAACTGCAATGATCCACTAATATAATGTGTATGATTCTGAAAAGTGCCATTCTATGTAATGAGTACTTTCACTTTAGGTAGTTAAAGTATATTTTGATAATATGACTTGTGCAATATTTAGCATAAAAGTGCATAAGAGGTGAATAAGGGAGAGGGAGGGGAGTGGGTGAAGATGAGTGAAAAAGGAAAGCGGTTCAAGTGAAAGACATGGTTTAGAAGATAGTAGGGAGACCTGCTGAGATGATCGCTCTGGTATAAAGACAGGAGACGTTGATGTTAAGAGTTTCATGGGAGGATGGAAAAGAGTGGAAATGAGTACATCAGAGGGAAAGGTCAGACTGAGAAGTTCGGAGACAAGTTAGGTTGTTGGTCGGGTGCTGCAGCTCAATTGTGCGTTTTGAATCTTTTTCTGAGCTTGTGCAGCCTCTGTCATCAGAAGAGAGGTGCAAGTGGGAACAAAAGCCTGACAAACACACGAAGAAAATTGGGCTACACTGTGGTTTCCTTCTATAAAGTTGTCCCTCTTCAGTGTCTCCAGTGAGGCTCAAGCCCAGTTTTATGTTACAGGTGTCTTTGGGGCAACTCAGGCTGAGATTGAGCACCACTTGGAGATGGGCCGCAAACTTTTGGCAGCTGGTCAGCTGGCCGAAGCCCTGTCCCACTACCACTCTGCTGTGGGTAAGGTTACACACACGCAAACACGTTCTTGCCACTGGCTGACATTTTCAGTCTACACAGTCGGTGCTTATCTATACAGTCGAGAAAGGTGTGTTATTGTGCAGTAAAAGAGTTTAGAGGTTCAAAGCTTGTGTTTGTTGCTTTTGTTAAAATAAAAATGAATAAATTGTGATGATGCATTTTCCAGAGGGTGACTCTAAGAATTACCTGACCTTCTACAAGCGAGCTGCAGTGTTTCTGGCCATGGGAAAGTCCAAATCTGCCCTGCCAGATCTGACCAAGGCTATCCAACTCAAGCCCGATTTCTTGGCTGTAGGTCACTCACTAGCCTTTCTTAATGTCTTCTATCATATTCCATTTCTTCTGCCCTCTTCCAAGTCTTCGTCATCCTATCTTTTCATCTGTTTGTATTTTTCAGGCCCGCTTGCAGAGAGGGAACATCCTGTTGAAGCAGGGCAGCACGCAGGAGGCTCGGGAGGACTTTGAGGCAGTGGTAGGTTTTATAACGTGCTGCTTTTGCAGTCCTAAATCACTCTCCCACGTATGTTTGCCACAATAATATGTACCTGCTGTTCCAGCTGCAGCGGTCCTCAGACAACGAGGAAGCTCAGAACCAGCTGATGAAGGCGAACGAGCTGGAGGAGCTGCAGGAGGAGGCCCAGGCTGCGTACCACCAAGGGGACTACAGCACAACGATCGCTCTGCTGGAGAGAGTTATAGAAGTAGGGGTCTTGTTGGTTAATTTTATTGTTCATTTACAATCTTACCAATACCAACTGCTTTAAAGTGTGATTTCAAATCTGATTTTAATGCCTCAGCATTTTAGTTATTAAAGGAATCAACATGATCTTTGAGCTGATTGCTCATTTATAAAAAGTTTCCGTCTTCCTCTAGATCTCTCCTTGGGATCCGGAGTCTCGGGAGCTCCGCGCAGAGTGCTACATCCGGATGGGAGATCCACAGAAAGCCATCCAGGATCTCACGCCGACGACGCGGCTTCGCAACGACAACCGCGCCGCCTTTCTGAAGCTCAGCAAGCTGCACTACAGCCTCGGCGACCACCACGAGTCACTCAAGTGAGCGTCGTTCCTGGAATAAACAAATAGGTCTGGCTTGCTCAGCCACGCAAATGAAGTCTCACTTTTTCCATCTATTCACACGCAGCAACGTCAGAGAGTGTCTGAAACTCGACCAGGACGACAAGGAGTGCTTCAGCCACTACAAGCAGGTGAAGAAGCTCAGCAAGCAGCTGGACTCGGCAGAAGAGCTGATTGAGGAGGGCAGGTGGGTATTTCTGTTGGGCTGAGGCACTTCGCTTCCACCTGCATGCAAATGAGAGTTTCAGAGGGCAGCTATAGTCTCAGCCTCTGAAAGTATAACATATACAAATGAGAACATAATTATTAGCACAGCTATGAAAATTTTCCCCAAGTCTTTTTTTTTTTTTTAACAGAGCAAGGGATTTTCAACACAGCATTTTCTTTAAAAAGCATAAATTATAAATATTTGCACACAGTAACAGAATAATTTCATAAAAGAAGAAAAAACACCAGAGTCAGTATTATTAGCCCGCTAAAAAACCACAAACCACTGCTGTGCAATGATTTGCTGTAACTTGTAATGCTCAGCTTGTAAGTTAAAGTTAAAACTGAGGGTTATCGTCCAACTTGCACACAGCAAAAAACTTCAGCAAGAGTTTGAGCTGTCAATGAGAAGACAGCTGGTCAAAGACAAAAGAAGACAGTTTAGACTTGAGAAAAAGAATGGCTGATGCTCACATTGCAGGAGGTGATATACAAACATATCACAGCATTTTCCAAGTGTTAAAAACTGGAGCGAGAAGCATCATTTAAAAATCCAAAGAGAGCCACACAGTGCAGAACAAGCCTGGAAGAGGTAGGAAGAGAAAGAAAACTAAGAAGACCCCAGAACATGACAACGACCTAAAACTCAGGGTTAAGAACAAGCTCCAGAAGACCAAAGTAAATGTCCCTGACTGGCCTGGGCAAAAGCCCTGACTTAAAAAATCTGGAGGCGCTGGAGATTCATCAAAGAAAAGTGAGTTGTGATTCCTCAGGACACGCATGAGAGCCTTATTGAGAACTAGAAGAAACAGTTGCAGGCTGTTAACCAGCAAAGAGAACACAAAACCGACTATTAGCAGCAGGGGGGCTAATAATGTTGATGCAGGTAGTTTTTATGACATATTTGTGTTTCTGTGCTCAAAGTAAAATAATGTAAGCATCCAAAATAAAACAAGCATGTTTGGAAATGCTGTGTTTGAAAGTCCTTGCTCTCTTTGGCTACGTCCACA